AATTGTCACGGCTGATGCTGACTTTTGGCTGATGTTGAATCTAAAAAATCCTATTGGCTAAATTTTGCAGATCACCCAAACCCTACCCTAACCAATCAGATTAATTAAATTCAGCATCAACCGTCACATTAATTAATACCATAATCAATAAAATACCCATATTTTCACTAATAAAAGTTTCATCACAATTTTTATTAATTTCAGTAGTTTTACGTTTTTCATGTTCACGAAGATTATTTAACGCAAAAGGATTGAGCAGTCGGCTATTATAATATGCTTTTGGATGATGTAGTTTTCTAGGCTTAGAAATTAATTGAACCTCCTGCAACTTTATATCAGCATTTTGAAATTGTTCGATAGCGTGTTTAATTCGATTTCTGTATAAGTCGACCAGTTAATAATCATATCTCCTAATTTATTAGCTATTGGTCGTTGATTTGGGTCCGAATTCCAGCACCTTTCCATTAGAGATGCATAGCATTTTGGTATATAGTCATTAATTTCTGGTCTACCACCGGTTACAATATAAAAACTTAAATGGATGTCATGTGGAACATTATTAAATGGAGGCTCTCCAGATGCAATTTCCCACATTAGCTATAAATATCCGCTGCTTTAGTATAAGGATTACCTATTAATACTTCAGGTGCTATATAAGGAAGTATACCATATAATTCTTCTCTATTCGATATATAGCTGTTCACCGGAGCTGATAATCCAAAGTCAGTGATCAATGAAGCATTTTTATACATATTATTTTCTGGGTCTCCATAAAAAAGTAAATTTCCACTATGTAGACCTTTATGAACTAAGTCTTATTTAAGCCCAGATATAATATGACGTAGGATTTTCAATCTTCTTTTCCATTCCCATTTACAAATTTTTTGTAAATTTTTTCTAAGACTTTCGCCTTGAGAATATTCATTACAATCATATATATTCAGAAGTTTCTGGTTTTTTAGTAATTCCAACTAATGGAAATAGCATTGATCCAATTTTCCTTGCAGATTTAATTGATTGTAAATGACGTTACCACTATAAAAATAATATGAAAATAAGTATTAAACTTTATATAATGGAATAACTATTTACTGTTAAAAATGAGCTCACTTCGTTTAAAAAACATTCATTTACATTTGACGAATTTTGAAGACTTTTTAATACAACCATTTTACCTCTAGTTAATATTTGATTATTATCATTAATACGATAAATCCAATCATCAAAAATTTCACATTGTATTCGAATCCAACCATTTTTTTTCATGATCTCATTTATAAATATTTCCATCAATCCAAATAGCTTTGTATATAATACTGTTACACCCAAAACTACCTCTTATAAGTTCGGTATAACGGTTTACTATAGCGACGGATATGTTATATGGTTGATATCAAATGCCGATTTATGCTTAAGTAAATATATGGTTTATTGCGGTTACGCTTTAAGAGGATTAAGTGATTTGCAGTTACGAAAGAGGCAAACTGCTAAATGTATATGAAGATACAAGTAGTCGTATAAACAAGTTTATTATTATGCTCAAGTTATTCGTGTATGAAGACACTATAACAGAGCGAGGATTTATTCAATAAAGTATTCGATCTATTCGTTTATGAAGACACGATTACTCTTTATTTATTGTCGAGTTCTAAATGTATATGAAGATACAAGTAGTCGTATAAACAAGTTTATTATTATACTCAAGTTATTCGTGTATGAAGACACTATAACAGAGCGAGGATTTATTCAATAAAGTATTCGAGCTATTCGTGTATGAAGACACGATTACTCTTTATTTATTGTCGAGTTGTTGTTGGAACTTCGAATTCTGTTCTCTACAAGAGAAATATCTAAAGCTATTTATATCTTTTGGACTTTCAATTTCCGTTACTATTTTTTATAAATTACAATTTTGCTAGAACCACTAGATTTATGGAAGCTGTTAGCGCTACTAGCGCTACTATCGCTACCAGTACTACTAGTGCTACTACATCGTCTCTTGCATTGGTATTATATTGTGGTTAATTTATCACAGGATACTAACTACAGAGGTTAACAGTACTAAAACCTCCTTTTGCAAGATATGTTATTTCTCTGAATTGACAGTACAGAATCCATTCTAAAACTTCCCAAGAGCTCATAGCAGAAAGTTGTGTTTATGTAAAAACCTATCAATATTCTGGTCATTACTAGTCCAATTTGGAAACGATGAAATCTTTTAGCATTACATTGTTGACACCAATTCAAAGATGTATTTAGTATAATGATAAACTTTTTGGCATACCTGATGACCTGCATTAGCTGCTCAGATGTGTCCGATAGGTATGTGGAAAAGAACTATTGAAAAAAAAATTATTAACTTCAGATTCAAATTTAATGTGAAGTAAATTAACTTTTATATAAATCTATTAACTTTCATGATGTTAACTTGTTTATAATGAACTAACCATTTGATAGAAAAAAGAGTGTCAAAAATTATTATGTGTTCATATGAGGGTGAGTCGGTAGAAACGCACCATATCTTTTTTAATGAAATTTTTGTAAATCAAACAAAAATAACTTAACAAAAACTTATCTAAATTTAGTAAAAAATTTTAAAATAAAGTCTACAAGTTTTTTAATTGGTTTAAAAAAAAATTTATTAAATTTGATTAAGTTATTGTTGAGTTATTCTTGTTTAAAGT